TTCAGCAGTATGAGAAAGGTAACCGTGGTTTGTCAACTAGTGGGGTCTAAATCAAGCATTTGACTGATGCCCTAAACCAAGGCATCAAAGTTCACGATGGAAGTTGGCTCCAACAGCTCCAGAGAGAAAAGATTGAAATGATTAGTCTGCGCAGGGACAGTCAAGCTGCAAGCTAAAAGAAACAAAACCCAAGTAGTCAGAAATGTGTACAAAAATCTGGTCCATCTTCAAAGTGATGTTCTTGACTGGCACACACGATCTTTCTTTGACATCTTGACAGTTTTCTGCTATTCCTCACCCCTGTCCAGTGTTTCTCTTCCCTGGGTTTTGTACCACTTGTATTAAATACAGTCTCCTCCTCTTAGGAGGAAAAAAAAACCCTGTTCCTTTTCAAAAGGGAAGAGAAACTGCCAGGGGACGGATGGTTTGAAGTATGGCAGAGGTGAGAGGGAAGCTAAGAAAATAGATACCTCAAACAGACTTCTAACTTCTGCCACATGATAGATAATAGCTCAAGATGACTCATCTCACTGCACATGGCTAGGGAACCTAATGGGATATCAACCATTTCAGGTATAAGCTTAAGGTTACTTGGCACAGAGCTATAGGAGTGACTGAGTTTCTGCACCCCAGGGACTGCAAACCATGAAAGGCTTTTTTTTTTTTTTTTTGCTAAAAGGAAAATGAATAAATCCCCAAGCCAAGGAGACTCCTGTTTGAATCATGCATGGTCTTTTATATCATCTGGGTCTGAGCCTTGAATTCCCATTGCACCAAGAGCTAAGATGAATGAGGGGGGAAACCCTGGGACAAGTTACTGTCGTAGGGGAACAAAGCAGAGTAATACCAAGTGAGGACAAGATGGATCCAGGAAGGTGTCCAAGAGAGGGCATGCAGGGCCAGAGCTGGGACATGAAGGCAAGATCAATGGGGCTTTTTGGTAACTGAAAGGCTTAGTTAGACACCTATAAAATTAGTGTAGCTCAGAGTTCGTCTAGTTGTAATGCTGCAGAGTCAACCTGGAAACCAGCTCAGTCTCAACTGTAGGGAATCCACTCATATGATTCTTGCAGACAAACGAGTCAGAAACAGCAAAAACAAATGAGTCTGAAGTTCAAGCTCATTGGTTTGCCAGATACGCTTGCACGAAGGTATTGATACCAAGATCAGGGCTGATAAACAGAGAGACAACGGGTGGTTCCTCGTTTCACTTCAGACAATGGGTGTTTCTGTGTTTCACGTTGGTTAATCTTTCAGAAACTGTCTCTTCGTGTCTGGCAACATGCTGTGACTCACGTGTTATAGGATCCTAGGAGAAGTACACACATTTTAGCCTTCCCCTTGTCACTGGGGTGATCTAGGGTTTGGCTTAGCCTGTGCTGTAAGTTAGAGCATCTTTGAGGCTGTTCTAACAGGAGACAACCCCCAAAAAACTATTGATCCTGGTAGCCCAGGGAGAGCAGCATTGCCTCTCCCCTAGCCATGCTTCTGCCATGCCCCTGTTTTAGAGGGGTAGACCAGCACAGAGGTGGCTGTGCTCTCCCATGTGAAAAGGCTGTTAAAGCCAGCTTTATGACACTTGCACCATTGGAGGAGTCACAGCCACACCTGTGTCCAAGGTCTGTGCCTGGGTGAGTTGCCGTCATGTTACAAAGATGGATCAGGGTTGCTTGTGTGCTTGTCTTGAAGGGATGAGCAGGGGGCCATGCCCCAGAAAGCCCCATAATGGCACTTCCATTCCCTCTTGACACACGGGAGCAGAATGACCCCCGCATCTCGCCTGGCTTTCTGGTAGGTGCTACGGCATGGGGCCTGCTGCAACGTTGGGGTCAGAGGCTGCAAATAGGTCTTGGTGGAGTCCATGACCCAGGCCCAGACTTTCAGTCCCAGGTAGGGGAATGAACACGGTCCATACTCCATTGGGTTGAAAGTCTCAGCTCAAATGAAGAATGGGCCACTTGCTTTGAAGTTCAGTTGGCTCTCATCCAACGCAGAACTGAGCGTGGGAATTATTGGACTCCTTGCAGGGAAGAGAAAGGCATCCAACCAGACCGACAAGGTAATAAGCAGTTGGTACCGAATGGCTGTTTTACCCAGGTACCAGTCTGCGGGCCTGGTTGCACCTTTATGCTGTGAACCGTGCACATGTTGCTGGGTGTTAGCGCTAGCTTGAGTTTTTGGAGCAGTCGTACTTCAGGCCATTGGGGACCTGGAGGACTGAACGGTAAGAATCCCCCCCCACTCCCATTGTGGGCTTTTCCCCCTTCCCCTCTGGACTCCCCAAGCTCCCCTCTTTCATCCCGGGGCTCCCCCCCTGCCCCTCAGGCTTCCCCCCCACCCCAGAGAGCATCGGCAATGACCGGGAAAGCAGATCAACCCTTCCCTGACTGCTTCCCCGGGCCAGACAGTGCAGGGAGCCACAAATAAGCTGGAGTGGGGCAGGGAGTGGGAATTGGGGGTGCCGGAGAGAGCAGGAGGGGGGCACTGGGCCCAATCCAGGTCAGCAGGCAAGTGGGGGGTAGACTAGACTTGCTGCACCTTAGTATAATATGAGTTTGGTAGCACGGATTGGAGATAATTCTGCCCTGGAGAGGTGTAACTCTGAGTCACCTAATGAGCGCTTAAAACTAATTTCAGGTGTTAGTGTGCAGGCAATCCAGAGGTTAAGAGCTCTAGAAGCTGCCCCAAATTACCACGTAACTAAGCTCTGAGAGACGGAGGATGCTCCACCCCGGACGGGTAAGGACTTGAAGCCTAGAACCAGACAAACAAAGACAAACCAGAAATGCAGCGTGGTAGCATCTGCCCGGCACCCATGGCTGAGACGATGACCTGAAGGGAATTCTGCAACGACGTGACGCTTCCTGGGAATATTTCCCATGCAATCCCAGGAAGCTTTTGGCTGCAAAATAATACTTTGTTTTTACACGTGAGGACACTTTTAGCCCCCATCCCTGCAAGAAAATGATGTAGGTGGGTCTTTGGACTTACTGGAGACCAGCTTCAGGATTGAAGCTTTATCTAACGTGGCCCAGTACTTACCTGTGCAGATTCTCCTTTGACACTTGTATCTGCATTTCTCAAAGGTTCAGAGTCCTCTTTCTGTGGCATTCAGTGATAAACATGTTGTTCTGATTTTTTTTTATTTTTTTTTTTATGATGATTACACAGAAATTGTAGGAAAAAACCTAGTTAAAAACAAATTGATTTTTCTGGGGGATATTATCTGTCTGTGTTATCTGTGAACTAATTATAGGACTAGAAAATCAATAACAATTTGCAGCTCTTATCAATGCCACTGTCTAAATTTGCTACATATTATACTGAAATATTTCCTCCTGCGCATTTGAAAGTCTTGATCATCACCTGCTTACCATGAGGCAGACAAGCTAATGGCTGATGAGCATTTATATTTCATTATGTTACAATAACAAGGCTTACCAAAATCATTTGTGGCAGACAAATAACAGCGCAAGTGCAATTTAGCTGCAGGCTGGGGAGCCAACATTTTTCAACCCGCTGCAGGAAGATTAGAAAACTTGGATGAGATCTGTGATTTTTTTTTTAATTTTTTTTTAATTATTATTATTTTTTTTTTTAAAGATTATGAAACACAGTCATTAAAAGTTCACGCTTGCCTGCCAAATGGTCTTTTTCAGACTTCATTCCAAAAAAAGTAAATGCTTTGGACAGTGAATATACTGCCTTTTCTCTCCAGCAAAGGAGAGAGATGTGCAATTCAGGCTAAATAATCAATGGATACGTCGCAGGCATAATCTCCCTTTTAAAAACAAAGGCGGAGAGGACGGGCGTGTACGCCTTTGCTGTATCAACAAGTGGTGTTGACTGTGGCAACTCATTTAGCACCAAGCCTCAAAACCTTTTGGGTAGGCATCATCTAATGTCCACAAAAAAAGCAGTGTCATGGGAGTGTGTCTGAGATGTGGACAAGACTGATCCTGCCTGGAGCGGAGAATCTCCCTTTGAAGATGCAATACACCCCACTGATTGTTTCCCTTGCACTTTGTGTGTAACACTAGTGCCACGTGAATCGGTGGTGCTGAATCAGCATAGGCACCTGCTTTGCATTGGGGTAAATTACTACCGAGATGCAGGGAAGCGAGGGACTGGACTCATTGGCACAGGGCTGCACGATCAGAGCCTCTCTTGATCAAGCCTTAAAGGGAGAAAATGCAAGACATGTCAAGGACTCACAAAGCAAAGGGGTTGGGAAGATTTCACCAGCCCACCTGACCTGAACATCTACACATGGGTAATAGCAGGGGGTTGCATTGTAGTTTGAGTGCCTTTTGTATCAGAGGCTCTTAAAGAGCTTTTTCAGAGGGGTAAACTGAGGCACTGATGGATCAACTCTCTTGCCAAAGCTCACACCGCGAGGAAGTAGCGAAGCCTGATACTAAACCCAGGCGGCCCAGCTCCAAGCAACTTCTCCTAGGCACTGGGATAGACTGACAAATTGTGCCCCGTCACCTGGGCATGGAATAATCAGTCATCATCTATCATATTTTGTACTTTTTCAAGTCAACCAAAGTGATGAAAGCTGGCTCTCTGGAGGGTTTAGATCATTCCTCCTTTTGGAGGTTTGAGGTCTGTGTTCCCGTCTCATGGGTTAGACACACACAGATGGATCCCAGCTTTTGGAGCTGTGTATGTTTTACCACATGCCGGGGCTCAGCTGATGCCTTTTAATTCCTCTTCTTCCTCTTCACTGTTTGCCTTCCCCGAGCAACCACAAACCCAAATCAAGGATCAAGGCCCTGTGACGCTCAGGGGCTGGTAGGACAAGACAAGCAAGTGGGTAAGGAAGGGAAGGGAAGTGTGGTAGCAAATGGGGAGAAGTCAGTAGGAAAGTAGAAGTCACTGCTTCTCCTTTGCTCTTGGAGGGGGTTTATGGGAAGATAACATTTTGTAGGAAGGTGATTGTTTGGCCATGTTGCATTAGACTCCGGGTCCGATTCACAGAGGTGGCTTTGTAGCATGCTTGGCCACAAGACTAGTAAGAGGGAAGGAGCAGAACCAGTGGGCTGGCATTCACCCTCCTGCTTTTTTTTGTGTCCAAAGCACACTTTCCCTCGGTGGTGTTCAGCCAGCTGTGCCTGCCTCCAGGCTAAAGCAAGAATTAGAAGCATATGTTGATTCCCATCACTGAAGTGCAAAGCAAGCCCTTGTCCAGAGATCACAGGTGTGCACTGTGGAGCAAAGGAGAGCCTACTACATCCAAAAGCTGATCTTTCTTGACCGCTCTTTGCTGAACTGTATGGGATCTGATTGCTCGAGCACTGGAGTTAAACGCCTCAACTCTGGATCGCTTGGATGATGCATTTCCACAGCGCCTTTCAGTTTAATGCCATGCTTGATTCAATGATGCTCTCTGAGTGCAACTTGAAGTGCTATTTTGGCTCACCCCAAGTCTCTCTCTGAAGCATCATTTCATGAAAACCTTCAGAGAGAAAGCTAGCCCCCCGAGGCATCATCCTGAAAATAACTAAAGGAGCAGATAAAACTCCCACCAGCTGCTCTTCTCAGTAACGTTAGCCTGTGTAGTTGTCATGCTAACAGTCAGGTGCAAGGACGAGCGCTCTCCAAACAGCTCCGCATCAAAGATCAGATAGCCATGCAACACTATCTCTCCACTCATCTCTGACCTTACCTTTTCATTGTCCATTGGAGTTCAGTCCTGTCGGGTCGGTCTTACTTGTTACTATCACTACAACCTTTGGGCCAGGCTTTAATGCCTGGATACACATGCTTGCATGAACTCCACTCACTCCCACCAAAAATGTATACATTTCCACCCCCCAAAAATGCATGGGACCAAGTATTTGTAGTCTGGATAAGGACTGTGGCTTTGAGTACCAGTAGTACAGAGGGCTGTTGTACATTTGTCAGGTATGGCCCAGGCCTCCAGACACTTACTTTTGTGAATGCAGATACGCGCACACACATTTGACTGAGTAACTAACAATAACTTTCCAAGGCTCACGCAATCCCGATATATATCTGTTTCCTAGTAACTGGGCCATTTACTTCCCCACGTTGCTGTTCTAAATAGATGGATGACATATCACTTACTGTAAAATATGCAATCACTTCTCTGACAGGACACGTGGCATTTATTTTTTCCCAAAATAGAGGGCTGTGGGGTTTTTTTAAGTTACTATTTACAGCTCAAGTTCAAACCTGAAAGGTATTATACCTCCTTCTCCAAAAAAAGAAGAAGAAAAAAGTGTAATTTTGAATCAGGAAGGATGTGATTTAAGTAGCTGAATATTTGAGAGACAATGTCCAGCCAGCTGACCTCCCCTTTGCAGCACAAAATTTGCACCCAAAGGCTTTAATTATTCATTTATATTGATAATACAGCAAAATGTACCAATATGAACACAGTGGAAGCTCCTGACAAGTGCTTAAGGGTCCATTAAAAAAGAAACGTAATAACATATCACAATAATAAAGAATCAGGTGGCCCAAAAATGAAGAAAAAAGCCCCTTGTTGGTCCATCAAACCCAAAGATACCAGATGTTTTTTGTTGTTTTTATTACTGTAGTGTCCAAAAGGCACCTGGAGCTCCACTGTGCTCTTATACCCTTGTTTTTCACAGGTTTTTTTCACACTTTTTTTTTTTTACCCCCAAACCTTTGAACTATGTTTTAAAGGGCAGTTGCTGCTGTTGGCTACACGCTCAGCTGAACCTTTCCATTTGGTTACACTTGACAAATGATGGATAGGAAGGAGATTAGTCCCGAGAAGAGTTGATAGCAAGAGCGAGGAAGATTTAGGCCAGGGGCTCTTGAAGAAAATAAATATAATTCATCACTATGCAGTGACAATCCTGAGATGATCAAGAAAGTGGTTTATGGGTGTACCCTCCCTTCTTATCATTATTTTTGGGCTAAATGTTTTCCATGGATGTGTTGTACCTACATCACCCACACTGGGAACCATGTTGTGGGGTATGGGATTGGGAGCCTAGGTGTGACTCTAGCTCTTCATGGGGAAAATGCAAGAATTACAGTCCTTCCTTGGTAGTGTAACAGTGGTCTTATAGCCATGGGGGTCCAGAAATGTCTTGCACGCTTTTTCTCCTTTCTATATTCTGCGTTTTCATTCATTTGCATCTCATGCTTTCCCCTTCTCAGGGTTGGAAATGTGGAGAGAGGAAAGGAGACAGCCAGATACATGAAGCACTGAAGGATGAGATGACCAGTAGTTTACAATTTGCAGACCCCGCGAGGTCTGTTTTAGTTACTCTGACCCCTCCAGGCTGACTCTTTCCTCAGTCACTGTGGACAACTATGCTATCACTCATGCCCGCAACTTTGGGGTCATCTTGGATCCCACACTCCCTCTCAGCCCTCCCGGAGAGGCTATTGCTTTTAACTCTTGCTGATGCTTTCTGGATACTATCTTGTATGTCTGCGGTAGGTAGGCCTTTCCTACCTACCATGCATCAATGAGTCTCAAGCTGGGTCTTGTCCTCTCGTGATTAAATGGCAGCGATATCCTTTTCTCTGGCTTTGACAAATGTAACATTTTGTCCTTCCCATTGATTCAGAAGAACTCGGCTGGAAAAACCACCTTCCTCGCTCCTGTTCTGACCGTTTGTTGCCTCCCTTCATTGGCTTCCCCTTCACTCTCAAAGCAAAATTAGGTGCTGGTTTTTATTTCCAAGGCTCTTCTACACCCATTTCTTTCCTCTACAGATAAGGATCATAAGCAGAATACGTGGCAAAGGGAACTCAGTCTTTTTACAAGCTATTTAAATCCTTCAGGGTAATAATAAACCTCCTGGAGGAAGAACCCATCTGGGGAAAAATAAATTCAAACGATGCTGGCCACTTCTATAAAAAAACCAACAACAAATCAAGTGCTAAAAGAAACACAATTATTGAGCCATCTTATTTTCAGCACCATAAATATGAGTGAATCTTTAAAATCCAATTTATTTTTCTGCTTTTTTTTCCCACGTTTCTCTCCCTTTCCACCATGAAAATCGAAAATGCCATTATCACCTTTGTTTACAGCAAGTTTTGCTATCGGGGTCCTGTGCTCCGGTATTGGATTATGGTTAGCAGGTACCAGCTCTTTATAGGTGCAGTCCAGAAAGGTGTTGGGTACCTACTGGGAGATAACAATTTTGATGGGGTTTGAAGGGGATCAAGCTTTGCATTTGAGCATCTAGCTTGATATATTTGGGGTCTTTCAAAGGAGACTCTGTTGCAGTCAACAAAATCCTCGTGTAAACCTAAGAGTAGGAGCAGTAGGAGGGAGGTCTACTGATGTGTGGTGCATCGTGTAGACCATACAGTACTAATAAGGAGAAAGGGTCTGTCTCCATACAAAGCCAAGGAAGGCAGCTAGGAATATTAAAACTGTACATCTAGTCTTGCTTTTGTCCAACATGATGGTTTAAATATGTCCTCTCTTAGGCCTTAACCTACATTAGATGTATTAGATGTGTTCTGCTTACTTATACTAAACCAATGTGATTTCCTTTGTGTTCCAAGTGAATAAAATTGAACTTGATCTATGCTTGGGTTTAGTGAGGGTTATTTCAGAAGAAGCATCCTAAGTCGTCGCAGTTCAGACAGATGAAAGGCTTAGTCCAGGGAGCCAACCCCAAGAGCGATTGCCGGGCAGCTGTGGAAGATAGAAGGACCTATATACCGCACAGGGCATCGGGCAAGAAGGACAGAAAAAAGGATAAGGCACTCCAACCCTCATGCCTGCCCCGCAGTGCTGCCCACACCAAGATCATGAACCAAGTCTTCAACATTTGTGCAATTAAAAGAACAAGATAAAGATTTTTAAACCAGCAAAAACAGTGGAGGGTTCTTTGTAGTTGTCTATTGGTCTCTAAGTCTTTAGGGGGCACTCGGGTCATGTTGTCAGGCTTGTCTTCTCTACAGCCAGGAAGGTTAAGAACTTGCATTTTTTTCCCCTAATGAAAATGTAGGCTCATGCAATCCCTTCACTCGAGGAAAGGTTCAGAGTACAAAACCCCATCGTGAGACTTACAGTAAAATCACAACTGTTGCCAGCCAGCACTGGGTCTGCCAAGCCATTCCTTTGCCTCATGTAAATCCCTTTACAAAAAGCTTCCTGTTTCTAGGATATTTATGTCCTTCATCATCCGCTGCTCGCTCCTTGCTGCACGTGGTTAGCAATGCACTGTGCTATTTAATCTGGCCCTTCCAAAGAACTCACATGCTAGGGAATGCTATAAGGAAGAGCAATAAAGGTAAATAATAAACCTTGTAGTGAAAATCTTGCTAGAGAAAGGACTGAACCCATGTGAACATCAAGGGGAGATGAGCTCTGCAGCCATGACAGCTTTAAAAGTGTTTGCGAGCACTTACCTGTCACAGCGAGGGGCAGTTTCATGTCACAGGGAGCCTTGCAGGGGCATGAACACAGCCTGGGGGGTCTGCGTTAAAAGGAATCAGGGGGTCACTACAGTAGGCAAAAGCAAGTTGCAGAGATCTGGATGCTATTCCTGTCTCTGTCACTGACCTACTCAGTAACCTTTGGCAAGCCACTTCATCTGTCTGTACTTGTGTCAACTCTCAACGTTTGGTCATTTGGCCTCTGCTCCCAACCTCTTCCATTGACAATAGGTGTCAGTATGGCATCTAGTATAACAGGGCCTTGAGTGAGCATGGAGTAATTTAAACCAACATCTGGCAATAAATGTGAAGCCCAAAGCCTTGCAGATCTTTGCATGGCTCTTTCCCATGGTTGCAGTCAGCAATGCATCACTCCTTCGCTGTCACTTAAGGAGCTTATTCAGAGCCTCTTGATTTAGCCTCTTGAGTGAAAACAAAACTCTAAAGGCGCTCCCCCGTCTTGGGTGGGCACACTGAGGCAGCCAAAGCAAAATTATGCACGGTATGGATATCAATGAACCATTGTTTCCTGTGATTGCAGGCAAGCTGTGAAGGGAAATGTCACATTGCTACAGAGTGGGAGCAGTGAGACTGGCTTTCTAAGCTGTACAGCAAAAAAAAAAAAGCAACACGTGCCATTTCTGAATGATCTGCTTTCAAAAAGCAAGTCAGAGCCAGAATCTCAAAGAACACAAGACAGCCTTTGAAATGGGTATCCGGATAGACAGCACAAGCAGAAAGGGTTAAACAGCGTCCTTGCTTGCATGCCGCCCCTCTGCCAAGAGCACAAATATCCTGCGTGGGGTGCAGTTCCTGCATACCATTTCTGGGTCAAAGGACTATAATCCGCCTGTGTCCCGTTCGTGTTTACAGACTCCATCACTGCAACCTCAAGTGACAACGCAGAAAAAGCAGGCGCGTGCCGTTTACTTGAACAAACAGATCAGGGCCGTGTTTTGAATACATGGCCCTGGTTACAGGGCTTTTGAGACGGTCCCTTTTGGCTGGAGTGTTTCCCCATGAATCCTGAGCTGCCCTGTGGACACTATTATATTCGTAAGTGTTGTGATTACTGGGTTGCCCGTACAAAGAAATGAGGAAGAAAAGAACAATACAGTTGAGAAGTGCATTGCTTTGAGTCCCGTCGTTTGTAATGCGAGGGGGTTGAGATTAAAGAAAGCCCTTCTGCAGCAAGGCGGATATTTTCAGTTGCAACAATACTTCATTTTTTTTCTTTTCAAAGGAGGTTTCTGAAGTAGCAGAAACAGGGAAGTTTCTCCCTGCACCTCCTGCCTGTACATACAGTTTAACCTGCTTAGAGCTGCCTTTGACCACTGGGGTGTGTTGCACGGACACACCCGAGAACAGTAACAGCCACCTGTCCCTGCCTTCCTTGCTCGCTGGGCAAGGAAATGAGACCTGGTTTCATTTTCTGCTCCCTAGAAAGCCCGGGTGGGAATAGCAGCCAAAAGCAGAATCTGCTCATACATACAAATTCCCCCGGGCACATTTTTTTCCGTGATCAGGACAGGAAATTATGCTTCTTTGCTCCAGCCCTTTCATGTAACAAGTATGCACACGGTCCGGCACGCCAGCGCACACGTGCACGAAGACATGGACCCATGCACACCACGCCCGTGCAAAATGAGTCCAGCTGACACCTGTCCCCACCGCGCCCGGGCTGCTCCTCCCTGCTCTCTCTTGCACCAGCGGTGGCAGGTGACAGAACAAGTTGCAACCTGGAAGTTGAAGTTAGAAACTTTCTATAGCAAAACACCAGGACAGGTTACCCAGAGGTGGTGGCCGCTCCATCCTTGGGGGTTTTGAAGACCCAACTGGACAAAGCCTGGGCTGGGGTGAGCTAGATGGGGATCTTCCTGCTTGGAGCAGGGGGTTGGACTGGATGTGACCTCCTGAACTCCCTTCCCACCTTCATTTTCTATGCTTTCATAGACATTAGGACTGGAAGAGCATCAAATTTTCTGTACTGTGTGTGTGTTAGAGCCAGGAGGTGGGAGGAAAGGAGAGAGAAAATCCTGGCTCTAACCTACACACCCCATGCCCTCTCCTCCAGACACCTATTCAGGGCACACCATGCCTTGCAGCTCCTTCCTCTCTCTCTCTCTCTCTCTGTGTCTCTCTCTCTTTCTGATCTGTCACAAAACCTTGCCGGGCTAAGTCACGATTGGTCCCTACGAGATAAGGCCACTACCTTCAACCCTCTGGTTGGATTAGCTCTCAGCACCCGGCCCCAGAGGCGTGGGCTTGAGATGAGCTGAATGGGGAGGGAGGGAAGAGAGAAACTGATGGGGAGAGACCGAGAGAGAAAGAAAGAGAGCAGCTGCCAGGAAGAGGTACACGCGGTGCGTGGGCGGGCGGTGGGTACCAGACGCGGCTGTGCCCGCAGGGAGGCAGAGCGCGATGCTGGGGCTTGGGAGGATGCTGCGAGCCGCCTGCACCTGCTGCCTTTGTGCTGCTGTGGCTGGGGAAGGCAATGGAGGGGAATGGAAAGGATGGGAAGGGGAAGGGAAGGGAGGAATGGTCTCCCTGCTCCTCCTCCTCCTCCTCCTCCCCGGGACGCCCCAGAGCTGGCTGCGCAGCGCCGGCACGGGAGATGAAGCCCGGCGCGCCTGCCGCCGACATCGACCATCCCCAGGAGCCGGGATCAGCCTTGCCCTTGCCCTGCCATTGGCTTGGGGGGAGGAAGGAGGAGGCGGCAGCAGCACACGGGCATGGGGGAGGTGGCTGGGATGGTGCCAGGGGTGCCCCCTTCCCCCCCCCGGAGCTGGCACCGCTCCCCCAGGGCAGAGGCTTGGCGCTGGCAGCAGCTAATGGCTTAATCGCACCGTGCAAGGAGCTGCGAGAGCCCAGCCCCGGCTGGGGTTACTCTCGGGCATCCTGCTCCTCGGCAGATGACTGCCTGGATGCACTTTGCGGAGGAAATGGCAAACCTGGGGGTGGCAGGGGAGCTGCTGCAGGTGCCTCTTCTCACGCCTGCTGCTTCTGCTGGTGCTGCCCAGACCCGCCGCTTCGGACCCCAGGTACATTTGGATCCTTTGGAAAGGGGAGAAGTTAAAAAATCCAGCAAATGAGGCCTGGGCAGATGTGCCTCCCCTTCCCAGAAAGCGTGGTTTCACAGGGCGCCCATCCCTGCGACTGCGACTGCGCTGCTAAGTGAGGCTTAGGAAGCGCTAGGGTAAGTCACTAGGAAACCTCTTGTCCATGCAGCGTGCAGACGGCTGCCCTGCTTCCTCCCCTGCCCCTTCTGAGCTAAATCAGGCCCCGTCATCGTGAGAGGTGGCACTTGCCGCACGCTATGAATCATTATGCCAATTGATTAAAATCCCCCTCCAGGAAGGGAAATATCCCAGCACAGTAAGGCAGCTTTTGTCTTCCTGTAACATGTGCCTCTGTACGTGGCTCTTCATAGAAAGGGATGGCATGTTTGCATGAACAGACTGCACGAGCCATCAGAACAATTGTCCTCTTCTGGTTTGCACAAAAGGCGCTCTGTTGTTTTGAACAATATTGCTAGCCGTGTTGGAGCAGGTTTTGAAATGGTTGTCTTTCCTCAGAAGCCATGTGCCCCGGCTCCCCCCCAACCATTTTCATTCAAATCGAGCTGTGGGTAAAGTGGGTTTATTTAGTCTGGAGAAGAGAAGACCAGGGAGGGCTTGAATAGCAGCCTTCAACTACCTGCAAAGAGCGGGGTTGCAAAGAGGACAGAGCTGGACTGCTGTCAGTGGGGGCAGATGACAGAAGGAGCAATGGGCTCACGTTGCAGCAGGGGAAGTTTAGGTTGGATATTAGGAAAAACTTTTTCACGGGGAGGGTAGCAAAGCACAGGAACAGGTGACCCAGGGAGGCAGTGGAGTCCCTGTCCTTGGAGGTTTTTAAGATCTGGCTAGATAAAGCCTTGGCTGGGATGATCTGTTTGGGGATGGTCCTGCTTTGAGCAGGTGTTGGCCTTGATGACATCTTGAGGCCCCTTCCAACCCTTATTTTCTATGATTTCTGGTAAGGAACAGAAGGAAGGGGACAGGGGGCAAAAAGTAGGAGACGGCACTGGACACGAAGAAAATGTTCCACATTGGAGGCAAACAGTGACCGTGAACAATGGACACTAACATGTGCTCT